TGTCTTGTCTATCTATCTATCTATCTATCTATCTATCTATCTATCTGTCTTGTCTGTCTGTCTGTCTGTCTGTCTATCTATCTATCTATCTATCTATCTATCTATCTGTCTTGTCTTGTCTATCTATCTATCTATCTATCTATCTATCTATCTATCTGTCTTGTCTTGTCTATCTATCTATCTATCTATCTATCTATTTATCTGTCTTGTCTTGTCTATCTGTCTGTCTGTCTGTCTGTCTGTCTATCTATCTATCTATCTATCTGTCTTGTCTTGTCTTGTCTTGTCTTGTCTATCTATCTATCTATCTATCTATCTATCTGTCTGTGTTTGTTTCATTCTAATCTTGGCTCAGACACATCCGATTCTCTTTTTTCTTTCATCCTTCTCTGCATATCGTATTCATTCTTCTGTCTTCTGGCTTTTTTCCATCATTTAATTATTAAGATTTTTTTTCTTTGAGCACCAGTGTTCAGGAAACTTTTGTTTTGTGAAGGCTCCTGTGATTTCCGTGGCAACAGTTGCTGAGCAACTGTACAGTGAGTTGTTGAGGTGGAGGGGTGGCAGTGACAGCTGATCGCTTACCGATTAAATGATGTCTGCTGTCGGTATAAAGGGAATAAGGCATATCTCTGTATCTTTTGAATAAGCCCAAATTTTGTATAGTTGTTTTACACGATTAAACAGACATCAGTTAATTATGTAAATATATGTACAAGTGTAGCGTTTTTTTTCTTCATTTGTTGTATATTTTTATTTACTTCATTTACAAATTTGAATTAAAATTCTTGAGTAATTTGTTAGAAAACCATTTGATGGAATTGCATGCAAAATTACCAGCAGTTCTTCATCCCACTGCCTCCATGCTGAATCCTGATACATTATACATTCATATGTTCTTGTGTGAGCAGCCGTGCTGCTCAGATGTGTGGTGACACCCGCGAGGATTCTTACATTTGACTCAACACGCTGAGTTCTTTTTTTAAGAAAAGAAAACAAAATATCATATCTTTGTGTCATTTTTAGGTTCTACGATTTGTGTGGGTAACACATACATTTATAACAGTGCTCTTTACTCCCCTCGCTCGCACAAAAAAAAAAAAAACAGATTTTAGTTCTTTAACTGCAACACAATGTGTTTTTTGTTTTGTTTTTAACTCTCATCAGCCAAGACTTGCAACAGTCATTTCTTATTTTGCACGTCTTCATGCAGGGGTTCAGGTTTATTAAAAAACAACACAGCTTCTCATAACCATAAGAGAGAGAAAACAGTCCAATTTAGTCAGCTAATCTGTTTTCATCTACTAGAAATCCACAGTGGAGATGAGGGCTGTGTGCTGAGTGAGGCGTTCAGCTGTGTGTTTGCGATGGAGGTCTTTGCTGTATTACACCCAAGGGCAGAGCGGCTAGAACTGCATCCAGGATTCAGGAATGAAAACCTGCAAGTTATTGGCTCTAGTCTGCTGATTAGTTGAGCATTTTGTGTGAGAGCGAATCCGAACACACATTCTGTGTCCTTTTCATGGCTGAAAGAGAAATCATTAAGGGAAAGTTTCGAGACGGGCAGAGCTCTCACAGCCAAGGTTATGGAAAAATGAAAATTGATCAGAATTAAAAAGGAAACACTCCCTACAAAAAGATTTATTAAAGTGCATCGCCCCTTCACGAATGCTATTCACTTGATTATTGAACCCCAGGCATAGAAGTTAAAGTAGTTAAGTAAAATAATCATGATTGATTTAAAGTCATCTTTTGAGATATACAGTTGCAGTTGTAAGATAAAATATAAAATGCAAGTCACAAAGTGAGCTGTTGTGTAATGCTGCATCCACACCAATAGGTGTCAGTAGTGGTTGGGGGCGGTCCTCACTTAACGGCCCAAAATGTTCCTAACATAATTTTACAGTTTTTCAGTGCATTAGGATGGAGATATTCAGTATGCCGTTTGTTTCGGTCATAGGTGTTGGCTCCGGCAGTTGAATGGCTGGATTATCTGAACTTCGTCCTGTCACCGCTGGAGCTGAACGACACTGAGCCTGTGGTGGTCTACGCTAAAGAATACCTGCAACAAGTTTCGGATCTCATCAACAAGACGGACCACAGGTACGGCTGTCTCCGTGGTTACAGCTCAGTGTTTCCCCTAGGTTTACGGCTTTGAGGGGTTTTTTTCCGTTTAAATTTTTCTGGACTTCTTTTTAATAGTTAAATTAAATTTTATTAATCAAAAAGCATGTCTAATTAATTAAAATCATGAATCTTAAACAATATAACATCAATTTATTAAAAGAGCCCAAAAATGTTTTATTTTTTCCAACCTAATGTTTTATTGTTACCAAATCCTGTTTTAGCATGTCTAATTATTTGAAATCATAAAAACAAGTTTCATTTATTCTTACAATAGCCTTGTGATTTTTTTTCCCTCAGAAATTCAGTGTTGTGTATTTACATTTTTAAGGCATAAAATATTCATTTAATTTATCTTTTAATGAATGAAAATTAAACAAATTTAATTTTTTAGAAAATAAAGGGGATTTAATACTACAATTAAAACATTGAAGAAATATTGTATGATTATTCCTTAAAAAGTGTGTGTGTGTGAGAGAGAGTGTGTGTGTGTGTGTGTGTGCGCGCGCATCGGGGCGGAACTCCGCTGTGCGTGATACAGAGAGCGCGACCATAACGTAGAGACCGAAATGACATGCCGTCGTGTAAATAAGATAAATTTAACATAAGGCTATTTAGTTTGCTTAATAAAAGAACAAGGTATAGACATGTTCTATCGGAAAGGTAACTTTAAATGACTTCTGTTGTGATCTGGCGCTATAGATAAAATATTATTAAATAAAATTTACTTGACCTTCAAGGGGGGTTGCCGTTGGGGGGCCGGGCCGCCCCCCTAATATAATGGCAGGGGAAACACTGCAGCTAATCAGAGTTCAGGAAGAGGACGTCCCCTCTGAGAGCTTCTGTTTAGATTGTGTATAGCCTGTGTTATACTTTCCGCATGAGCAATCCGGACGCGTACACGGACAGCGCGGACGCGGACTACTTGTATTTATACTACCGAAAGCATACGCTGATGGTCCGCTCCGCAAACGTGCTCCATACATGCGCAGTAGATCGGCTTGAACAGTAAACAAACATGTGAACAAACAATTGCCCACAGTTATCTGGCTGTCTTTATCTTGTTTTATCGACGGATTGTACAGGTTCGAGTAGCAACGGGCTTATTCACACAGCCTATGCGCAGTTGGTGCTTTTGTAGCCTACTGACCGCACGTACTTGTCCGCGCGGTCACAAAAAATGGGAGGCACACGGATGTCCGCGCGGAGCCTCTGCGCACACTCTCCGATGACGATTTTTACGTCACGCATACCATAGCGGACACTAGCGAACTCGCGCACGCGGAAAGTATAACACAGGCTTATCAGAAGATTCAGTGCTAATAACAGCCTCTCTCTCTCTCTCTCTATCACTGTCTCTGTCTCCCAGTCTGAGAATATTTTTACTGCTTCTTTAACACCGACTCTCTCTTTACCTATATAAATAAATGAATACAGATGAAGAAATGGGCCCTTTTTTAGATATGTGGATGCATTCTCTCTCTTTCTTCTCCAGTCTTTTGAATAATTACATGATCTGGAATCTGGTTCAGAAAGGAGCGTCCAGTCTGGACCAGCGCTTTGAGAACGCTCAGGATAAGCTGCTGGAGAGCCTCTACGGCACTAAGAAGGTGTGTGTTGTTGGAGTGTGTGTTAAAGAAATGGTTGACACCAAAGTGATAATTCTGTTGTCATTTATTTACTCACCTTCATGTTGTTCCAAACCCGAATGGCTGTTTAATGGAACAATGTAATGTAATGGAAATATAATGGAAGTGAATGGGAACTAGGATTGTCAAGTTTTGAAAAAACCTCCTTATAACACCAAAAAAGGTCCACACACAATATTACAATATTACATTACGTGCTTTGTGTGATGATCAGAAGTTTTAGTCATTATTCACTGAAAATCTTTTTTCCTCACCTCTCCAATTCTCATTTGTGTTAACGCATATTCAAACTTGATGACCCACTTAAGAAAGACTATATGTGTTTTCGTAGTTAATATGCTTGTAATGAAGTATTTGTCGCAATTTAGTACATTTACAGTATATGTAAATGTAATATCAAATAACACAGTACAGTTAAATTACAATCAAATACTTTACATGTGCTTTAGTATCTTAGTCAGCTAAACTGTACTTTAAATGTACTTTAAAAATTTTCATTTGACATTATTTCAAAGTGCACCTCTTAAAAGTATATTAAGTGTGGTAAAAAACAAGGTCATGAATGTGTCTGTCTTTAACTGCACTTAAGGTGGCCTTTTATTTAATCAATATTATATTATTTAAAATGTACTTTTAAGATACTACAAGTGCACATTCAACACAATTAGGAACACTTTTTTATAAGGGACATGAGGGTGAGTAAATTCTGATAGAATAAAAAAATCAGAATTTCAAAATGATGTGAACATTTACATTAAAGAGAGAATCCAGTCTATTTTTTATTTGTTTTGCACAATTTGTGTATGCAATCAGTATACATGCAGAACAATGTTTTAAATTGACATAATCACATAAAAAATCTGGCCCCCATTCTGTGTTTTTATGCTTGTTTCAGGTTGCCAACTAAGTTCATCTGCATGTAATTTGTCAATATGTCTGTTTGATATTCAGTCCTGTACTCCACGCTGGCAGACGTGCATTGGGAATGCAGATGACACTCTGGGTTTTGCATTGGGTGCTCTTTTCGTCAAAGCCACTTTCGACAAACAGAGCAAAGAAATAGTGAGTCACATGTCATGTTTAAACGAAAAAATACTGAATTTTGCACAGCAAGTTCATGTCCTCATGTGTAATTCAGACTCTCATTTCTGGTGTGTGTGTTTGCCACCATGTGGCAGCAGAGTCAATTACACAGTTCTCAACCCCGTCTTTCTGTCATAATGCAGGCGGAGGGGATGTTCTCTCGATTTGCTAAATCGTGCACATGATTACTATTTCGTTTCCTCGATTTACTAATTCGTTCTCTCGATTTATAAATTGTGCGCATGATTTAGCAAATCGAGGGAACGAATTAGTAAATTGTGCGCACGATTTATAAATCAAGAGAACGAATTAGTAAATTGTGCGCACGATTTATAAATCAAGAGAACGAATTAGTAAATTGTGCGCACGATTTATAAATCAAGAGAACGAATTAGTAAATTGTGCGCACGATTTATAAATCGACGGAAAGAAATAGTAAATTGTGCACACGATTTAGCAAACCGAGGGAACGAATTAGCAAATCACGGGAACGAAATAGTAATCGTGTACACGTTTTAGTACATCGAGGGAACAAATTAGTAAATCGTGCACACGATTTATTTATTTTTTCTTGCATGTCATGTGCGGGGCTCCGTAATATTTTGATAATAGTAAATGTTTCTTGAGCAGCAAATCAGCATGTTAGAACGATTTCTCAAGGATAATTTATTGATGCTAAAATTCAGCTTTGCATCATAGGAATAAATTACATTTGAAAATATATTCACATAGAAAACAGTTATTTTGAATTGTAATAATATTTCACAATATTACTGTTTTTACTGTATGCCTGGGTGAGCATACGATTAAAAATCATGCCAAGATGTTTAGATTAGATTAGATTAGATTATTATTATACAACGGATCGTTCCGGTCCTTCATTCTGATTGGCTGAGCCACGATCAAAGCTGTTGTAAATTACTCTACAAACATACACCTTTGTTTACGTTTGTGTGTTGCTCGGCAACCACTTTGTTGGAACCACAACTGTTTCTGAGGAACTACATTGTTTGGTGGAAGAATACTGTTTTTATTTATATCATTACACTTTATTTGCTCTGTTTTATTTTGTGAAACCTTACTACGTATATGGAATAACTGTTTTATAAAAGCAATAAGCCCCGTGAAGCCGTGGTTTACAGTGAATTTATAACAGCTAAGGGGGTTGTAGGCACTCCTCCCTTAATTCACCACGGCTTCTTGGGGCTTATTGCTTTAATTTACTTTATTAATATAAAAAATATCCCAGCTAACAGGCAACGTGATGTGATTTTCTTGTAGTATGAGGTTACAGAAGACAACTTCTTCCAGAATATGATCAACTTCTATAACTTCTCAGCACGAGTGATGGCAGACCAGCTGCGCAAGCCGCCCAACAGAGACCAGTGAGTGTAAGAGTGTGTGTTAAGAGCGAAGCATGTGAGACGTACTGTGAGCTGACGGCTGATTTCTGACTGCTGTAGATGGAGTATGACTCCACCCACGGTGAACGCATACTACATGCCCACCAAGAACGGGATCGTCTTCCCCGCCGGCATCTTACAGGCCCCCTTCTACGCCCAGGATCACCCCAAGTGAGCAGACATGCCTGAAAGAGTTAGCATGTCACAAACTAAGCTGTTTTTCTTCCATAACTGAGATGTTTTGGTGTGTCTCACAGAGCTTTAAACTTTGGTGGCATTGGAGTGGTGATGGGACATGAGTTAACACATGCCTTCGATGACCAAGGTTAGTTGTCTTCCGCTGATGTCCAGTTATACTTGATGCTATATTATGTCCAGTTGCTTGATTTCAGTGAAGGTCTTTTTGAGTTCTGAAAGTTTGTAGACTGTTGTATTTTGACAGGTTGAAAAAAATGCAATATTTCATTATATAACCCCTTTAATTCTGCCCCACAGGCAGAGAGTATGACAAAGATGGAAACCTTCGGCCGTGGTGGCAGAACTCCTCGGTGGACGCGTTTAAGAACCGCACCGAGTGCATGATCGATCAGTACACTCAGTACACCATCAACGGAGAGCACATCAACGGCAAACAGACGCTGGGAGAAAACATCGCAGACAACGGCGGCCTGAAAGCTGCCTATCATGTAGGTCACATTTCAGGTTTTAGGTTTAGCTGTTTTTGTTCATATGCAATGAAAGGTGCGGGCTAAATTTGTGAAAATAAAGCAGACATTGAGCGCCCAATCATTTCCTACACTTGACTGAATGCCAGCCTTACAAAAACTTTTCCCATTTTCAAAATATTTTTAGAGGTTTGTACGGGCACTCAAGTTATTTATTCATAATCATTTAATAATTTAAATGACAGGCCTGAGAGTGGATGTCCACCGTAAGAGTGGATGGTCATTCAAAGCCATTAGAGAAGCAAGTTACATTTTATAAAAGCATCCCATAGGAAATTTCTTAAGGGGTCCTATTATGCTCTTTTACAAAGTCTTGATTTTGTTTTGGGGGTGTACTAGAACAGGCTCTCATACTAGAGCTAAACACATTATTTTTCACATATTTTACATTATTACAACACCTCTCTCCCCAGTCTGGCATGAACGGCTCGAATAGTTCCTGTATCAAATGAAGGCCCGCCTTCTGAAATACGAAATGTGCTGTAATTGGT